GACAGATGAAATTTGTTAAAGCAGGATATTAATAGTGTCTTTGCTTCAGAGCTTGACGAAGCTGATCCCGGTGCTTTAGTCTACTGTCTTCAAAACCCTTTAACTTAATGAAACATGTCTTACGCCATGCCTTTCGGTTTGATGCTTGGGCTTCTCAGGTTTTCAGATGAAAGTTGAAACATTTCAAGTTGTCTTTCTATTTTTCTTTGTAGCGTAAGAGTGGACGTCCAACTGAAGGCTTCATTGGACGCCAATGTTTATCCATTCTTACAACATGACCATCCCACCTAAGTTGTATATTTTTCAGTATTGCCCTATTCTTGACCCTGTCATCCTATTTTATATGACATATGGCATGAAGACAGCGCATGTAAAAGGCGTCAAGTTGATTTATGAGCTTGCGGTACAGGGTCCACACCATAGAGAAGGGTTGAGAGAACGACTAATCTGTATATGTCAATGTTTACTCTGAGAGTCACGTGTTTGGTGTTCCTTAACCTATGTTTAAGTTTACTGAATGTTGTGCTGGCTTTGGCTATTCTGGATTGGATTTCTCTGTCCATTTTTTCATCAGAAGAGACTGTTGATCCAAAATATGTGAACGCCTCAACAGTTTTTAATGCCGTACCATTAATGAAGACGGAAAGATTTGTAAGAGATGAAAAATAGTCTTTATGTTGATAATGAGTCCAAATGCTTTCGAAACAGAAAAATAAATAAATATATAGGTTTTCTGTTTATACGTTATTTTTATAGAACAAATATTTAAGTAAATGCTCTGTTTATAATAAACAGTATTAACATCATTTACCGGTTTTAATATTAGAGAAATTTCATGGAAAATATGTCCTGCGACAGGAATTGAAACTGTATCCGACACGGAACCTTTGTATAGCCTGAGGTGCTATACCACTTAGCTACTGAGGAAGCGTCTGATTTGCGAGGTCAAATTACTGTTTTTAAAATACAAATTTCCCATGATTTCTTTCTAACGCTCATATCTGCTCGCAGCGTATCTTTACCTATACAAATGACATTATATATTATGAAATGAACTAAGTCAAATAATTATTATTAATATATTTTCTGTTTATACTTTATTTTTATAGCTACAAATATTTAAGTAAATGCTCTGTTTTTAATAAACATATTAACAACTAATAAGACACTTCCTCTGTAGCTAAATGGTGTAACACATGGGCTATATGACGGTTCGAAGTAGGATACAGGTTCGTTTCTTGTCAGAGGACATACATTCTCTATAAAATTTCTCGGATATTCAGGCTAAATGTTGTTTATTAAAAACAGAGCATTTACATAAATATTTGATAAAAAATAACATATAAACAGAAAATATATTACAATAACTGTATGACTTAGTCTATATTGTGAGAGTGAGGCACGTAATATCTTTGACTAGTACACGTAGTCGTACTGTTGGGGACGTCGAAATAAAACTCAAATATTTTTTTCATTTGAACTGGATTCTTAGTTTATTCGAAATTTGCTATGAAAATAAATGAGGCGTTGATTTGTGAACGAGTTTAACCAAACGGGGGAAAATCAAATAAAAAAGAAATCTCCCTTCAGCTGATTACGTTCGCACAACTTCACTAAATATTAGCTTCATGCGTTCAAAAGCAAATATCCATAAACATACACCAGCATTAATTGCTTGATACAGCAAAAGCTGTGTTGCTTTCAGATGATCACAGCTCAAAAAAGATATTTACATTATCACTAATTAGAAAATTCTAGGGTTAAGCTGCGGTATATATACTTCTACAATTTACTCTCGTGTGGTCATATGTGACGTCAAGAGATGCGGTGCGATGTTCGCTTCTAGCGTCTTATATGCGCGTGTTTATCGTTGCTTAGAAATCATCTATGTAAACAATGACAGACTATCATCACTGTCTTGTCCATATATTGTTAATATGTTGTAATTGACATCTTTGATAATGGCTTATGTAAGCCGAAAGCTTAGATTGTATTAAAAAAAAATATGGATCAATATTGTGAATTTCTTTCTTCGTTCAACGATAATGTTATTAAACTTATCAGACGTTACGAAAAAAATTTACATAAAATAAATAGACAAGACTTGTCTATACTATTTAATGAAATGTGCATATATATATATATATATATATATATATATATATATATATATATATATATATATATATATACTGATAATATTAGTGGTCAATAATATATATATATATATATATATATATATATAGGGGTGTATATTTAGGCAGCAAATTCTCTTTTAGGTTGATTAAATAAATTGCAAACATGTCTGTTTATTTTTAGCATAATCATATTCATGGATATTTTTTCCGTGTATTACAATCAAATGATGCAAGTAATGCACTGTAACATTTAAAATCACTTTTATTTCCCAATAACTTTCCATGACTTTCTGTGTTCATCATGATTTTCACCGTTACAGTGCATTTCTTGCATCATTTGATTGTAATACATGGAAAAATATCCATGAATATGAACGGATTATGCTAAAAATAAGCACACAAGGTTTGTAAATTATTTAATCAGTCATCCATAAATATCTATCTATCTATCTATCTATATATATATATATATATATATATATATATGTGTGTGTGTGTGTGTGTGTGTATGTGTGTGTGTGTGTGTGTGTGTGTGTGTGTGTGTGTGTGTGTGTGTGTGTGCAATAGCAAATAATATATTATGAAGAAATAGCTAACCAGAGTATTTCATAAAGATAATATTTTAGGTAAACAGTCTTGCGAATTAATATCAAGGGATATAACTGATAATAAAAAATAAAAAATTACTCACATGCTTTCAGTGATTCGTGGATCTTGAAATTATTTTTCTAATACTTTTTCATTTACCTTCACAGATATTTTTCTTTAAAGATTCACTCCTTTTTCAAAAAGATGTTTAAATAATCTATCTATCTATATATCTATCTATCTATCTATCTACATAAAAAAGTTGAAAACCAACCTGAGCAAAATAAACTATGAAATCTTCACAAATATTCTTAAATGCCTATAATTGATAACAGAAGCCATTGGTTTATACCAACGGATTCCCATACTTAATACTTCTCGTGACATGTGTGACACCACGAGCTGCGATGCGATATTCGTTTGCGTGTCTCGTATACACGAGTTTGTCGTTGCTTTGAAATTTTTCATGCAACAAAAACAGACTATCATTATTGTTTTGTCCGAGTATTGTTTGATATATTGAAATGTAAATGTCATTTTTGATAATGGCTTATGTAAACTGAAAGCTTAGATAGGATTAAAAAACATGTATCAATATGGTGATTTCCTTTCGTCTTTCAATGATAATGTTATTAAGCTTATCAGACAATATGAAAGGATGTTACTTAAAATAAATGGACAAAACTTTATTACTTAATGAAACATGCATCAATATATATATATATATATATATATATATATATATATATATATATATATATATATATATATGTTTGTGTATGTGTGTGTTTGTGTGTGCAGTGTGTGTACGTACTGTATTGTAACGTGTAGAAGTTTAGAAAGAATTGGCGAACCTAGTTCGAATTTTGACTTGGTGAAGTGTTTCAAGTCATCGTGACACCCCATTTCTTTGTTATAAGGTCTTCTAAAAAGTGTGAATGGATCTATAAATCTGACTACAAGAATAAAAACATGTGGGTAGTCTAGCGGCCCAGTTCTAAAACGATAGGCAAAAATCGACAAGTTTATTCACTGTGTAATTTGTAATGGGTTATTTACTACTACGCCAAACGTTATATTGTCGATAGGCCCATGTTTGAGTAGACACCCTAGCTTTAAACAGCGTCAATTATGTCTACTGGCCTACACATTAGAGAAGCTTAGTACAGAAAGTATGCTCTCGGGTAGTCTTTGTTGGTATCTGAAACCTCAAAAAATATGAATTTCTAAAGAATCAAACGTTTGGAGTAAAAAAAATAATGTCGTCTAAAAACACATTGATCCCTTAGAAAAGACTTTAAGTTTCAGATACAAAAAAATGCGGTTAAATATGGGCATTGGCGAAGAACTGAACGTGACGATGTACATTCTTCAAAATGGCCCCTCGAAACCTTGCTGGGATCTGACGATCTCTGTGGCCGAGGCGATTAAAGTACGCTGGATCAGACCGTGGTTTCTCATGCGAAGAAAGACACAAGTTTGAACCCTAATCATAAGAGAACGTTCTCTTTATTAAGTCTCACGAAAAAGCAAGCCAGTAGATTTAATTCATACCATTAAAAAAAAATGAAAATATTTGGTTTGAAACTAACTGATGCCTTTCAAAATAACGTTATTCTTTAATGAAATGAATCTTTTAAAGTTGGATTTTGGGCTTTCTTCAAATTACCAAGATACATTAAACCACTATAGTATTTCTGCGAATAGAGAAAATTCCTGTTTCCCTTTCTGCTTTGAAAACAATCTGTCATAGTTTATTAAGGGAGAAAATTGTCGAAAACAAGTAGTTCTCGCAGGCACAAATCAACTACAATCGAGAGACGATTTATAAACGTTGTAAGCAATAGTGTCAAAAAAAGTGACATCATTTGAAATTGTCAAAAGCAGTTGTCTGTCTCAGTGGAAAGGGAATAAATTGTTGGAAGCAAGAAATTCGTCTTAAGCTAAAATTCCAAATTAATGTTTGGAATTCAGAGCGAATAGAAAATATATCTCTGGAGGAAATTCCGTTCCTCGCCAATTTGGATAATACCTTTGCTTCATTAATTGATCTTTGCTGCTAAATACCAGCAAAATATTAAGATTAAATCAGGAAAGAACATTAATCAGCGATTTATATAGTTATCATCGATGATTACCGGTCGCTATTCAACACTAGCTAAAGGTCAAAATTCTAAATACTTCTTTAAAGAGACTGTCACTACACAATCTTCATCACCCTATATCTCCCATTTGGTCTTGTGCCAGACTATAATAATCTTAAATACTTGAATATCAAGATGTAGACATTCGGATATGAGCAGATTGAGGTAGATAGATAGATAGATGAATAGATAGATAGATAATGACCTCCCCATGTAAATATTCAGCATGCCATTATTACTTTCCAACAAAGATTGCTTACACCGTTTACTCCAGTGATTTTTTCTTTAATTGGCCTCCTGTCCTGTCGACATTCATCAGGTCACTATAATTTTTCGACAAAGCTTGCTTCAACAGACCGCCCTAATCACTTTTCCCTTTTTCCCATCATTTGGGCGTTATATGCGATGGCATGGCAGACACTTTTGAGCTAATCATTGATTTTCTCCGGCGCAATATGTTGTAGAGTCAACACTTCCATAACAGTGTGATAATTCAATTTCTGGTTTTGTTTTTCTTCAGTCATTGTCTCCCACTTCAAGTTGTATCGTTTCAGAATTCTTAATCCCAAGGCAATGCCGCCTCAAAAAAAAACGTTTAAATTTGGTGAAATCAATATAAGTAATAAATGTATTATGAAAATGAATCACCTAACAAAACATTTCCATTACATAAACTCACACAATAGTGTTACACTGAGAAACCCATTGCAGAATGTCTTTAACTCAGGCCTGAATATTTCGTATATACCAGGTGTAACAGCAAAATTGTCCCAATCGTGTAACAAAATGGGATAATTGTCCATCCCACAAAATGTTTAATATCTAAAAAGCAACTAAACTGAGTTTCCTTTTCCCACGTTTTGTGATTAACCATCTTGACACCATTTGTCGTAAGAATCACTGAAAAATTTATTCAACTAGAAAGAGAAAAGGTTAAAATCGTTTTGTCCCAGAGCCATTATGTATTTCCAAGTGAGCAATTGCAAGAGGAAAAAGATCATTCAGAACTTTAGTACAGTGGCTTCAACCTTCAAGGTACATTCAAGAACCATCAAGAAAACGAAGAAAAAGTTTTAAAAAGAGGGACCAGTAGAGAGGAAAACTGTTTCAGGATATCACGACAGAAAGAGAGATCATTATTTCAATTTAGAGCTAAATATATTCTTATTGCTTAAAGTAGATTCAAATAGCGTTATAAAAATTTCGGGGAATTCCAGTAAGATATTTTTAATCATTTCTAAGATATAACGGTTCAAAACTTCATCTAACTCATAGAGAATTTTGATGTGACACAGTTTTGAGACTTGTGAGTGTAATTAGGTAGACGGAGCTATTTTGTTGAGCTAGTACAAAGTCACAGGTCATCGTGATCGAGGGTTTGAGAGCACTGGCCTTGTTCAGACTGTTGATCACGCCAAATACTGCATTCTCTCCCAGAGACTGTAATTAAAATCTGCTCAGCATAGTTGAGGTACAAACCACAGGCGGGGTCTGTGAGAGTTGAAAACAAATGTGCCTGAGTAGGCGTCTGTAACAGGGATGAGCTAGCCGCGCTATTAAACAATCATACCCGAATACAAGCTTCCTATATGAGAGAATGAGAAATTGAAGATCAATTCTCCCAGGAATTCTGAGGTTAAAAGGCTTTAAATCTACTATATAGTAGGTACTTACTTGAATACGGAGTTAGGTTGTGACGCAAGGTCAGTTTAGTATGGGGAGCCCGAGCGCGGACACCCGGGCTAGGGGCAAAAATTGCTCGAACCCTCGCAACCGTCGGTTATGCTGTCCACGGTGCTAGCACCAATCACTTTCTCTCTGGTACAATGAGAGGGCATTCCCTTGGGCAGGGCTTCCCCAGGGCTGGATACATCTCCGTATAATTTTCCTCAGTTGCGACGATGGAGTCGCACCAAAGCGTACTCTGCGTAGAGACAGAGACGCAACTGAGAGATGATAAATAAACGTGTAACAAACTACTTTATAGTAATTTGCTTATTACTCGACTCCCCCTCCACGACATCGCGTTCGAGAACCTACTCACACACAAACACACATATACACATGCACACACACACACGCACACACACACACACGTATATACATGTGTGTATTTGTATGTGTATGTGATACTATACAAAAGACTAGCACTTGTTAATGAATTTAACCTTTTTTATGATTCAATCTGCCGCACTAAATGATCATTGATTCGAGGTCAGAAAAATTAACATGAAATTTGAATTATAAGTAATAATAATTCTTTTTCCATAAAGTTATTTGGATGTATTTTTTAATTTATTTTGTTTCGAAATTACATATTAACCTGTTAGGTTAATATGTAAATGTAAATTTTCCATGTAATGGAACTTATACTTTTTATAATTTAATCCTTTTATTTTATTCTCTTACCTTACTCACTCTGACCCACAAACCTTTTATTCGCAGAGTAGGGGGACTCTCTCTCTCTCTCATATATATCTATATCTATATATATATATATATATATATATTGGGTAAGAATTCCATAGTTGGAATGTCGGCGACTAAACCGATAACCGGAGACCACTCCTCTATTAATGCCAAGAAATACCATGACAAATAACACACACATTATGAAACCTAACGGCGTGAAGGGGCTTAAATCTATGGGAATCAACTCTTCAGCCGGTATGGCTCGACATGTGCAACAGGTGTCACCTGAACATGATCCAGCGACTACTGGCCAAACAACGGAAATTTTGTCAGTGACAATCACAGAATTATTTATATAGGCGGAGAAGAAAACGATAAAGGAGTAGGATTGATACTAGATCAAGAATTCAAGAAATGCGTTCTGGGAAACTGTCAATTATCCGAAAGAATTCCGATAGTTAAGCTGAAAGAAAATCCTTTCAACATAATTATCATAATAGTGTATGCACCGACAGCGCAAAGTAAGGAAGAAGAAATCGTATCTTTCTACTTCATGGTAGACAATGCCAAGGCTCTTTGCAAATGGTAAGAAGGCATAATTATTATGGGAGAACGCCAAAGTAGGCAGGGAGAAGGCAGAGGATATAGCCGGAAAATTCGGACTAGGAACCCGCAAAGAACGTGGGGAGAAATGGTTCCAATGGTGCACGGGCAATGACCAGGTAATAGCCAACACATGGTTCCAAGAACATCCAAGACGATTATGGACACAGAAGAGCGAAAAGGAGAAATTAAAAACCAAATTGACTACATTATTATCAACAAAAAATTCGGAAATGCAATGGTTCACTGCCGACTGTGGAAGAGACCATGTTATATGGAAGAATGAAACTAGGGAAACTGAAGAAGCCTAACACAGCACCCAAAATGCAATACAATAAACTCCAAAGCGACCCGTACCAAGGCCAAAGACCCATTCCAAAAGCTAGGCAGAATATTGCAAGACAGGAGGATTTCGTTGGTAACAAAGAAAAGACTATTGACCTGCTATGTGATATCTACATCTATATTCTTCTTTACGGCAGCTAATGTTGGTCTCCTCAAAGATAAAGAAGAAACTCGAGGCAATGGAGCTATGGTTCTACAGAAGGATGCTGAGGATATCATGGACTAAGTGTGTGAGCAACAATGAGGACTTGGAGAGGATGCAAACAAGGAGGAAGCGTATACTTAACATAAAAAAGAGGTAGCTAGGGCATGTAATGAGAAAGCAGGGCTTGGAGAATCTGATACAAGGTGGCTAGAGGGAAAGAGAGAAAGAATACACAGTTCACGGGATCTTTTTTTTCAGTTAATGGAAGTAACGTTTTTGTTTTTTCTCATACGCATCTAATTTTTGAACTTTGAAATCTAGAACGCAGCATAAGCAGTATATATATATATATATATATATATATATATATATATAACAGACAGATTGTTTCGCAGCTCTTCAGTGTAGCTGGACGTCCGATTGCTTCAAACCGGGATCGAAACCCGACTGATTCTTATCTCTAGGCCATCGTCACACGGCAGAAAGGAAGTGAATTTTAGCGTTTATATATATATATATATATATATATATATTACGATAAACGTGCAATCAATTTACAAATTCATGAATTATTCACACAAAAACAAATGCAAAGGTTAATGATTTAATTGGCGAGAAATCCATCGTCACAAACAATTCAAATAATATACAAAACCTCCGAATCCGTTATGAATGAAATGATCCTTCTTTCTATAAATTTCTGCCGTATTAGTTCTTATTTTTACTACAAGCTTTCGCCTGTTCCTACAGACATCTTCAGGTATAGAATAGATGTTGTTCTTGTTTTTTCTCTTAGTAATAAGAGGACAACGAAAATATATGTATTGTTGTATCCGAAAATGCTATTGGAAATGAGTTATTGTTTTTGGAGCGCGCAGTAGCAACGCTGAGTTTGATTTTAAATTTTTAAAAGTTGTGCGTTCATATACAAATATGGTGATGAACGAATTTTTACTGGTAAATTTTCTGTCAAAGTGGCATGAACTATATTGTTCAATAATTACAGTAATGTCGCACTTATTATCCAAAAGTCGCACTTGGATCAGTTATTTAAATTACGATAAACGTGCAATCAATTTACAAATACATGAATTATTCACACAAAAACAAATGCAAAGGTTAATGATTTAATTGGTGAGAAATCCATCGTCGCAAACAATTCAAATAATATACAAAAACCTCCGAATCCGTTATGAATGAAATGATCCTTCTTTCTATAAATTTCTGCCGTATTAGTTCTTATTTTTACTACAAGCTTTCGCCTGTTCCTACAGACATCTTCAGGTATAGAATAGATGTTGTTCTTGTTTTTTCTCTTAGTAATAAGAGGACAACGAAAATATATGTATTGTAAAAAATTCGTTCATCACCATATTTGTATATGAACGCACAACTTTTAAAAATTTAAATAATGTCTAATAAGTTTAATAACATTATAATTCAACGAAGAAAGAAATTCACAATATTGATCCATATTTTTTTTAGTACAATATAAGCTTTCGGCTTACATAAGCCATTATCAAAGATATCAATTACAACATATCCGTATATTGCTTAATATGTTGTAATTGATATCTTTGATAATGGCTTATGTAAGCCGAAAGCTTAGATTGTATTAAAAAATATGGATCAATTTTGTGAATTTCTTTCTTCGTTCAACGATAATGTTATTAAACTTATATATATATTATTTAATGAAACGTATATGAATAAAAAAGATGCTGCCTAAATACACACAATTTAAATATATATATATATATATATATATATATATATATATATATATATATATATATTCCACTTTATTTTGAAAACGTTTAAATAATAAAAATATGTCAGATTAATAAAAATCTGTCAGATTAATAAAAATCACTTTCTTCCTTTATATATATATATATATAAGTACAGAAAATCCTTAAAGATCCATTTTGGTAATAATTTATTTCATGAATATATTTAAATATTCATGTCTTCAGACCGAACGTTTTTTAGGATGGAAATGAATTTGTACACAAAAAGGGATAAGGGAGAGGAAGAAAGAAAGAAAAACGAAAAGGAATTATTTTTAATAAAAAAGGAAGAAAGAAAAAAAAATTCAATATAAAAGTTATCTTTTATATTTATAGAAGAAAGAGTGAGAGGAGGAGGAATGGGATAGAGAGGGAAAGAAAAGAAAGGAAAAAAGAAAAATTAAATATGAATCGATAGGTTGACGTAGAAACAAATTTTTCTTTAAATGGCTTAACAAGTTAATATACTGGATAAGTGAGAGGATGATCAGAATTAAAAGATTTATATGTCTAATATATATACTAGCAGCATGGCCTATCTTGCCTATCTCACACTGCGAATTTTTTCTAAGCTTGATACTAAACATTAAATCTGTTACAAAAAAAGAACTAAACAAAATGAACACAAAACGATCAGTTTTAAAAAAGAACTCGTAACTGGAAAAACCGAATGAAAAAAGAATGTTAACAACAAATACTTTATCACACCCAACCCAGTTCTGCGGAATCAGAATCAACGTTGAGTTTAAGCAAGCGAATGAGCCAATTGGAGTAAAGTGCCTTGCAGATTTAAATTTTTCCCACTTGTGGCGAATGTAGCTATCAATTTTTTTTGCATGCTAGCATGCTAGTTAACATTCGTGTCAGTCAGCTGTTGGCTCTCACGCTGGCCAATAAAATCTTCGTGCCTATTCGTGGCAGGCAGCTATTGGCTTTTACTCTGGCCAGTACAAAATGGCTGCAAACTACATGAAAAGTGCCGTAGAAGCATGAAAAAATCGATTATTTCCACTATCGATGGGAGTTGGGAAGTGAAAAGTCAGTCTTGGAGCATGTGCATGTAAATTTTGGTGCAAATCCATCGAAAATTGCCGCCGTACATTCGTTAAACACACACACACACACACACACACACACACACACACACACACACATCCTGCCTTTTATAGATAGAGATATAGATAATGTGTGTGTAAATAATGGTATATAAAATTAATGGAATCATTATTAATAAAAAAAAGAAAAGGCAACACTCAATAACATTAACTACGAATACGGCCACAATGTTCTGACCGTGTCTGAAAAATAGAACATTCCTTTAACTCTAGATACATACATAACACAATCCATACATAAAGTAAAAATCAAATTATTCTTAATAATTACTTGAAGTATAGACAAAAATGGTTGAATATACTAACCATTTCGACAATTTTACATAATTTACGTCCAAAATAAGAAAAGAATTACGAAAACACAAGAAAAATTAAATAAAACATTTAACCACAGTTCCTTGTCAGTCGTATTTAATGAAACTTGTATATAAGAAGGGTTGTCGCCTAAATACAAAATTATAGTTAGATAAATCGATAGATAGATAGATAGATAGATAGATATAGACAGACAGAGACAGAAAAACAGACATACAAGACAGAGAAAGAAAAAATTGAGAGAAAGAATATGTGTTTGTTTGTGAGAGAGTGAGAGAAAGAAAGAAAGAAGAAGAGAGATAATGTGTGTGTGTGTTTGTGCGTGTGAGAGATAGATAGAATAAAACATTATGATCATGGAAATGAAAGGTTTTCGCTTGTTTCAGTCTGGGATAATAACAGCAGGTTTATTATAATTAAGAATAAAAATGAAGAATGATGACTTATGCGCAAATGATCAAATTTCTTCATTTCGAAGAGCCACAAATTCTAACTAAACAAAATAAAATCCGACGAAGTTAGAATTTCTCACAATATTTCTATTCAATCAAAACACTGGAATAATTTTCACAATAACAACATTCTTAAAAGATTTCCGTTCAGCTCGCTTAGAATTCGCAGCGTTATTGCTTAATCTGAGATTTCATCTATTTACACATTTGGTCCTATCATAAGTTTATCACGCTCAAAATATTTATCCATAAATTCAAATCAGCGAAGAACTGATATATATATATATACACACACATACACACACATATATATATATACACACACACACACATATATATATATATATATACACACACAGACACACACACACACATATATATATATATACACACACACACACACACACACACACATATATATATATATATATATATAAATAAAGGAGCAAAACACTTTATGTAACCGCTGTGGCACCATGCATACCTGACGAGCTAAGAGAAATATTCATAGATATATGATTTGTTTTTTTACGGTTTATCAACCATTTAATAATTAATTAGAGCCGAAAAATATTTTGGGTTTTAAGAATAATTCTTTCTTTACATTCAAGCGATCTGGAAGAAGGAAAGAGAAAACGAAGAAGAAAGAAAGAAAAAATAATACGAAAACAGGTCATAGGCGAGCACACACACACGAACGGCTGACAGATAACAGGTGTCAAAAAATATCCGGGTCAAGCATCTAACCGATTTCCGCGGAATCCACGAAAAATGGAAGTTGTTATCAATTGGTTGTCACCCAAGAGGAAAAGAAGAAACGAAGTTTAGGGACAATGAAAATATTGATAAGTAACAAGTGGAAAGTGTGTCATTGGAGTGATAGTAAAGGTCTAAGTGGGTGGGGAAGTGTATCTAAGGATATGAAGGCAAACCATTAATACGAAAACCCAGACAGTCTCCAAAATTGGAAAAAGCCACACAAGATGATGTCACTGAAAAATTTTTTTTTTGAGATAATAAAGATTTTTATTATCGGACCTTCGGGCGGAGGAAAATGAAATATTTTTATTTCGTTCAAAAACGCCAACAGGTCTGAGAAATCCCTTTCTTAGGTCATATCCAATTAGCGATAAACTGATTGACAAATACCACGTGTTAAAAAGCCGAAGGTGTCATCGCAGTCGCTCATGATAAGGGCGATTTAAATTAATATTTTTGTTTTTTAAGCAAGGTGTTTCTTTCCCAAAACAAAGCCACGGATTGTCCACGCCCGACTAAAGACGTCATTGGCTAAATAAGATCACATGACACACGAAGGAGGAGGAAAGATACCCGACCAGGACCTCATTGGCCGAGAGCGGTCACGTGACGCACGAGGAGAATCGGCCGACGCCCCTGTCAGAAGTGTAAGTGTAAGGAGCCGATACGAAGAAGCGGGGAAGCGGGTATACGCCCCTCAGAGGCACAGTAAGGAAGTGGGAGTGAGAGTGAGTTACCGAAAATGGAAAATCCCTAACCAGAAATAAGAAGGGTGGATACGTATTTAGAATTATCGAAGAAACCCCTGGCGCCGACAGACCCACCCCAGTTTTGACTGCGTCAATAAAAGCGAAACCCCAACCGACAGAAATCAGTTTGAGCCGCGGACGGCGGGCCAGGTTCGTTCGCCCCTTTGCGGGCAAGAGAGGCCAGTTCGTTTGGCCTAAGTGAAGTAGTTCGTCCGACCCAAGCCGAAGTGAAGAAGTTAGTTCGCGCACCGACGGCGGAGATGAGTGACCGGTAATTCAGACTCCGAAGAGAAGAAGTTAGTTCGCGCACCGACGGCGGAGATGAGTAACCAGTAATTCAGACTCTGAAGAGAAGAAGTTAGTTCGCACACCGACGGCGGAGATGAGTGACCAGTAATTCAGACTCTGAAGAGAAGAAGTTTGAGTTGAGCCGCGGACGGCGAAAGAGTTCACCGTGGACGACAAGCAGAGATGAGCGCCCAGTGTTGAAACCGCGTCAAGATAGCTGACCAAGATTCACGCACACTTCTGGACTCTTCTTCAACCAAGAACAAGTAGTTTGAAGAGCGACTTAGAATCAGACCACAGGAATAAGTTCTTTTTCGACTTTCGCCCAAAAACACACCGAAACACAAATTTCTTAGAGAGCAGACAACTTGAAGCCTTAGAGTTGCCTAGTAAAAGCGTCGTGCCACAATCCACAGAACGGGTCGGGAAGTAGACATAGTCCTATGTACCGAGCAATTAGACATAAAAAGTTTGTTACCTTTTTCTTGATACGTTGGACCTTGTGAGTTTTTATTTTATTTTCTTTTATACATAATTGTGTGTTATCACCCCCGTTAGACTCAACTTGCATTACGGCCCCAACCCCTGTTGGTCCCGTCTGTCTAAGATCAATTCATAACGTGGGTAGGCAGACTGGAGATCAGTGCAGTTACCCTGGTAACCAGGCGTTGGAAGCGGGTTGGGAACGGCGAGGTTGCTGGTATCAATCTAACCAAAGGGTTAGAACGTCACAATTGGCGCCGCGACCGGGATCGAACGACACAGTCGACGCTGCGACCGGGGGACGACGTCACACCGCACACAACTTTGGTTTCGACCGTCAGGTGTCTTCGGATGGCGGGCAAAAGGTGATCGTAAAAAAAAAAAAACATTTATACGATTGTGGCTCCGAATCTAGGGAAGGGATGAGATCTAGAAAAATACGTTGATATACGCCCGTTTTGTGGTACGGTATTTTTCCGGTCTTTTAACAGATTTGTTTATATATATATATATATATATATATATATATATATATATAATTTTTTTTATAGAAAACAACGGTCAAAAGATAACAACATTAGTTGCCACAATAAACTAAAAAAATAGAATATAATACTATCTACCAACACCATGACATCCTCTATCCAAAACATCTAAACAACATCCAAATATTCATAACCACATCCCAAACCGTTATGAAGAATATCTGAACTAAAAACACTTATAACAATAATAAGTCAGAAACAGGCATATATCAAATAAAATGCCAAAACTATTGTTCATAATACATTGGAAAAACATTGGGAAATTAAAAAAAATAAAAATTAATATCTGTGAACACAAAAGGGACATCATACATAACAATTTAACAAATGCACTAGTCATACATAGAAATAAATTCAACCACAATTTTGCTGCACTTCTTATACCCTTTCACTCTGTAAACACTTACATCCTAGTAGCATAATCACTTTGCTAGGAGTGAAATGATTCATATATATATATATATATATATATATATATATATATATATATATATAATTTATTTAAAAATTATAAGATGTGATTTTATAACATATTTATGTTATAATTTTTAAATAAATAATTATGTCTGCTCTATTGTGTATTGAGCACACTTTTAAGAATAGTAATTGTTGGTTATTGAAATTTATATCAATCATATACTTGGATATATATATATATATATACCCCAATATATATATATATATATATACAATCATATACTTGGGTATATATATTGGGGTATATATATATATATATATATATATATATATATATACGTGTGTATGTGTGCGTGTGTGTGTGTGTGTGAGTCGATTTTTTAACTTAACTGGTTTCGCTTTTAGATTTTCAAAGCGTTTGTAAATGTTTATATTCCCACGTGTTATGACTTGAACAAAAGAAAAAAATCTAAGGGTGTAACTGGTTTTATATATCACATGCTCAGGAAAATATGCTAGAATCTATTGATTCATTGCATAAATCAGGCAACCATGAGTCATTATGCTCCGCCATGTCTTAGCAACAAGCATCAGTATTATATATTTCCATCTGTCCAGTTTTTTGGCCACCGAATTTTGTATCGAATGAGAACCAATGAAGCAACCTTTTATCCCTCAGTGGACGAAACGCGCCGGCTAAGAATTTTTCCTCTTGTATTTTTATTCATTTAGTTCCTTTAAAGATACACACTATCTGAAAATAATTTACACACACACGCGCTCGCGCATGCACACACAGACGCACATATACACACACACACATATATATATATATCTGTGTGTGCAATATATATATATATATATATATATATATATATATATATTGCTCAATATCAAAGATAGAGCGTATGTAAATATAAAAGTGAATATTGAAGTCAACATTCTGAGGCGTCTGTTTCATGCTAAACGCCTAGCATGAAATAGCCTGTCCACTCTGAGTGTTGATTTCAATATTCCCTTTATATATATATGTGTGTGTGTGTGTGAAAAGTGTATATAAATATAAATAAATATATATATGTATAATTATATATATATATATATATATATATGTGAAAAGTGTATATAAATATAAATAAATATATATATATGTATAATTATATATATATATATATATATATATATATATATGTGAAAAGTGTATATAAATATAAATAAATATATATATGTATAATTATATATATATATATATATATATATATATATGTGTGTGAAAAGTGTATATAATTATAAATAAATATATATATGTATAATTATTTATATATTATATGCGCAGTACTTATTAGAAAGCGCTCAATAACAGAGATAGAGCTAACATATTTGGTTGGATAGATGTGAGTTTGTGACCCTGGATTTCACGCTTTAGCGATCGTCAGACAAACTCACATCTATCCAACCAAATATATATATATATATATATATATATATATATATATATATATATATATATATATATTTGCGGACGATAATGGGTATGCAGTTGGAGATTCATTGTGGAATTTATTTGATTCACTTCTACAGGTGACTACTACTCGCATGCGCGACTGGCGAATCTTATATGTGTTGTTCTTGTCCTAAGTATTATCGTTCATTCCCAATCTTCGTTCGTTTATTTATATTCAGTAACCTTGCCTAGGTTAGAACACACACACGCACAAACACATACATATATATAAATGTATATTTGCATATATATATATATATATGACAATATTTCTCCACAATGTTTTAAAATATCCAAATGAATTAATCAAAAAGCCCCTGCCTTGCCTCCTAGTTAGACTTGCCACTGCCGAACGATGATGAATTCCCACTGAAATTTAAACATTTATTGTTCATGCTTTTTTAGTTTAATTCCTGTAATTCGGTATTATTGATTATCCTTATGTCCTGTTTATAATTTGGCTGCTGTGTCATGTGGGTTTCAGGCACTTTCAGTCCTTGAAGAATTCTAACCTCGAAATTCAAGCTCAGAAACCTGAAAGAGATTGAAACTATAGCAGCCTCGTATTAGCCAAAAGCAAATTGCCAACCTTATTGAATAAGAGGGTTGGCGATTTGTGCAATCAAAAACCTCTTCTACCTTATGACCCACAGGTAGGAAAGCGAACATGTGTACGAAGTTTCTAAGTTTTCTTTTATGTATTGACTGCTTCTGCCAGGTTCTTTTTTTTATAAAAGAAGTGGCTTTCGATATGGGGTGAAGTTGTTTTTCATTCGATCGATAGCAAATAAAACCCACATATATATACATATGTGTAAAACAAAACAGGATAGATAGATAGATAGATAGATAGATAGATAGATAGATAGATAGATAGATAGATATGACTGAAGTGAAATAGAAATATAGATATTCGATCGTATTTGAATACAGATAAATCCTAATATTTTCAGTTTTGATTCCCAATAAATTTTGGACCTCCCTACTTATAAATCTGACATCAACATAATCTTCTTCCATAGGAAAAAAATGGTGACCAGAAAGGTAACTAGAAGTGCACATCGAAGTTGTGAAAAATATCATGAATGAAAATACGACTCCAAAAAGTAGTGGAAGAACCTTTTTTGTCAAGACAAAACTCTCTCAATTTAATCTGATACATCTTTCTGAAAATGATTTAAATTAAAACAAAATATACCACTGTCTTGGAAAATAAAATTTGGTGTCATTTATTCATATAAATGATATTCTTTCAAATCTTCGAATCTAGAATCAAATTTTGTAAGACAAAAGCAAGAATTTTGAATTGTCTTTTATTTTATCACGATTATTCTATGATCTATAAAAATTTATTCATTTATATCCATATCTATGCATATCGTTTCTTCACTTACACAGTAAATTGCAACTGACTGATATATTGTACATGATATGATATCTGATTTGATGTATGATTTGATATGAAATAGCCTGTCGACTTAACATGTGCAGCCAAAAAGAGACATGCTTTGTTTTTATTCTTTTAATTTTTAAATAAATTTATAAACCGGAGCAACATTTTAATTGAAAATAACGCAACTCTTCATTGGCTGCACGACAACAAAATAACTTTAATAATTTTAAGCACGGATTTAGTTTTACATTTATGGCTTGTTAATTATTTTGTCAACGAGCTGACAAAACATTAAACTTTTCAAATAAAAATAATAGAAATCCAAGCGTCGACGACATCGCAAGTCACGCTGTCTTTTGAAATAAACCCTCCTACTTATTTTTATTAATCTTTACGATTATGAAACGAGTCGAGATTTTAAAATAATAATAATCAAATCATATAATAATTATCAATGTGTATTTATTAATATATTTCCTGTCTCGTCTGTAGTGGGAAGGGACATAAATGAACTTATTAATAAATTTATAAGTGATTTCTTCCTTTAGTCGTTTTAATAAATAAAAGATTTATCTACATTTAGACAAAATAAGTTCCCGAGCAAAATGAACCGTTTAATTAATCAGTTCCTTTACTTCCATATTTTTTAGATTGCAGCATTGTTTGTTCAATCCTTTCATGTGATGTCTACAGATAATATATTCGTTAAATGATCGTCTTTTTTCAACTTAGGTTTGGAAATAGGTTTTGTCATTCTGTTTCTAATCTTTTTATTCCGAGATATAATTCTATTTTACTGTTAAACACATTTATAAATATTTCAAATGAAAAGATTATCTGAAAGTCTAAAATATATAAAAGTAACGGATTAATAGATTAAACGTTTCATTCGGTTCTATTTTAGTTATGAATATTTCATCTCCGCTCTACTAAATCTCAATACATTGTTTCCAGATTTTTGCTTCATTACATATTAAAGCTTTCTAACAATTTCCGTCATATTTTATGCCATGGGCACACTACTACTACTACTACTACTACTACTACTACTACTAATAATAATAATAACGGCTTGGCTTCGCAAAACGAAGATCAAGAGGGAGTCTGTGCACGTCACTTGCAGGCATGTTTATGACTGATAAGTCCAATGCTGGACAGGCATACCCCAGTCGCAGTAGTTGCAGCTGAAAGCCAGGCCTGAGCTCGATGGCATGGCGTTGCAGTATTTCCTCCTCTGAGAGCGGCCCTGCAGTATTTTCAAAGAAGGTAATAGCATGGTTGTTAGGCGTCACAGTTCTCAGTTGAGGTTGACCATTGACAATGGTTGATGTGACAGGCATCTTTTGAAGAAAAAGTATTTTTGTTAAAAGGTGTAAAGGGTAGGACCAGTTCAGCGCTTACTGCACTTTACCTAAAAACTCCACTGCGCAGGCCCAAGGAAGAGGTTAGCATCCACGAACCATTTCCAAGCCCTGTAAGTAATAATAATAATAATAATAATAATAATAATAATAATAATAATTACGACTGCAACTTTCCAGTAGGAAACATTTCACCAAGTAGATTGGCTTCGAAAAAAAGTGTAAGTGTCACCTCTGCGTCTCCTTGTCTATTCTATTTATCTTTACGCGCGGTGGGGTCTTGAATTGATTTCATGAAAACCTTTCCCATGTCAGACATATAGGTATACAAATTATCTTTTCCTAAGTCACCAGGATGCCAACATTGAGATACTTTTGATCAGCTAATAGTGACTCGTTCGTTAGGCTGTACGAAACAGAAAGCTAAAGATGATGATGATGGTGATCATCATCATAATAATAATAATAAAAACAACTTTGGTTGTCCCTGTAGTACAATACAGTTTCAATATCCTTAATTGGACGATAGCAGATATTGAGGAAATCCCACTAATCAAGGCAATACTTAAACAAAAACTTTAAGACGAGATTAAAAGCGTTGTAGGTTCTATCGCCAAAATAAGACATTCCAAACAGACCCCAAGAGGTTGTACACAGAAATGGAAAGAGCAGTTACAGAAGTCAAAAAGCCAGCATCTATTAAAGAAGTGCGAACATTTTGGAAGTATATTTGGAGTAACCCAAAGGAGATGTAATTCCAATGCAGAGTGGATCCAACGAGAAAAAGAAAGGATGAACGATAAATATGTGTAAGAATGGGAAAATATAAGCAAGAATGTTAGGCAAACTCTAACAAATTTTTTTAAAAAATTAGAAATCCTTAGGAAATGACAAGGTAGCAAACTTTTGGCTGTGTCATGTGTCATCAATCCACAAAAATCTGGCGCAAACTTTATTAATGCTAATTAATAACCCCTAATGAAATTATAGATTGGATCACTGAAGACTATTTACACACTCCGGCCTTCTTCTGGTTGGAATGTCGAACTGAACCCTTTATTTTGCTCACTGGGGTAGACTCTTCTAGTTCCGCGTGTCATGTTTGATGGATGTCAGTTATCAGTTATCGCCTGTTAATTTTCCCTCTGAAAGATCTCCAGTGCCTTAACCGGGTATTGAACTCTCACTCTTTACAATTTAACCAACGCCTTTATCCCCTGTGCCATGTGTCCTTGAGGACATCTGATTATGAATTTCTGGGTATTATAAACCTAATGTCTTCAGCAACCATTTTTACCAGTGCTCATATTGCAATTTTTGCTGTTATCATTTCATGTTTTTACCAGAGCTCATATTGCAACTTTGTTGTTATCATTGCTTTTCTCTGGCACTCCTTATTACTGGTTCCCATATTGTATTTATTTCTATGCTTGGTCGGCTCAGGAGATTTTTGTGGCCTAGCATATGTGCTGATTCCTTAATTTTACGAATTTTCCAATGGTGTTCCTTGTCTATGATCTCAACATGATTCCACAGAGGGCGGTGATCTCTCTTCTCTCTCCATATGTGGTCGGCCACGCCTGATTTTTCTACTTCCCGTCGTGTTACAGCTTTCTGATGTTCTTGAAGCCTTACCTTGAGGAGGCGGCCTGTCTCTCCTTTATATTCCTTTCCGCAGCTGCACGGGATAGCGTACACACAGTCTTTAGTCATGTTTTTCTCCTTGGGGGGGTCTTACTCGGGAGAGAAATCTGCGAAGTGTCGTCCAGCTTTTGAAGGTTGTCCTGATGTTATATGGACCGCAGATCCTTTGTATTTTCTCTGATAACCCCTTCACATAAGGCAGGCAGACTGTTTTCTGATTGTTTTTTTCCTCCTCCGCTTGTACCTGGGTTCAGTTCGACATTCCAACCACCTGAAGAAGACCGGATCGTACAATGGCCGGAACGTTGTGATAAATATGGCGACAAAGACGAGGACAATAGTCCGAATAATGTAAATAATGATAGTTGTTCAAGCCTTATCTAAAAACATGGATAATATTTTTGCTAAAAATTAAGGTTTTAAGTTTTATTTTTGTCAAATAAAGATGAAAAATAGAAATAGATATTAATTCAGGAAAATATACACCAATAGTCTCAACCTTTTCGGAAAAATAGGAGTGAGTTTTAATCTCCTTCCATGTGTTTTGGGAAATGAAATCAAATGTCACTTTGTCCCTTTTTCGTGAAAAGTAGAAAAATGTTAATAAAATTACAAAAAAGAATAATGGTTAGAAACAAATAATAAATCTGTTGGCTTCAAGCATTCTTAGAAAAGGAAGATTAAACCTAAAAATAAAGAGATATCGAAAGACATGATTCAGGTTTAAGAAACGGCAGAGAAGCAGGAATTCCAAAAATATTTACTAAGCATAGTTTGAAATATAATTACAAGAATTAAGCACTTAGTGAGAATTATATCGACTAGAAAATTGATTTGATTTCCTACCAATCTTACTATAGTAGGCACTTGTTTTAAAAAGCCTATCGTAGACCGGAATATACCAAGTCTTTGTGGGTCACATTGTCAGGAGCGAAAGCAATTCACTAAAGAACATCAACCAAGCATAAAATAGAAATTCTTAATTAAGTTTACTCATTGCAAAGTGTAATTTTATGGCGCTTGGAAAAATTGTTTTCGCCAAAGCTAGTCAGAAATGTTTGTGTGCTGTTGATGTCTATGAAACTTAGCCAACTATGACAGAAGAACAAAATATGAAGCAGCCAGTGAAGATCTAATTAATTATATTGCTAATAATATAGCTAGCTGGCACTTACATAGCTAATGTTCCAAACTTTTACAAGGAAACCAAAAGTAAGAAGATAGAAGGAATCGTTGTCTGTAAAAGAGATAGTCCAAGTTACGCTCTACGTATTAGGGACGTCAAAGTAAAGCGGATGTCGAAATTTAACTTTCTGGGTAAAACAGACGATAGAAATTATGAGAAAGATATAAGGTGAATAGAATTAATCAAATATGCTTTTCACAAAACTAAACAAATCATTAAGAGATAGAAAAACTGTTCTTAGAAACAAAGAAAAGTTTACTGAACTTCTATGCAATGTCTATTGACTTATATGGAAGTGAATGCTGGATAATGTTTTCATAAATAAATCAGACATTTGAACTAACACAAATGTCGTTAGGCCGACGAATGCTGGGAATACTACGGAAGGTTCGGGTTTTCAAGTTTTAAGGAGAATAGGAATTACAAAGAATTGTTATAATCAGAAATAGCTGACACTTCTGGGGTACAATGAGGAAAT